TTCGCGACAGCGAGATATGGGCCCTTGATGCAGATTTTCAGGGCATTGTTTTCTTTTAAGTGGGAGAGAACGACGTGTCGTCGTTAACTGATCCGCAGAACCTGGTTGAAGACTCGCTGGATCTTCTGGACTATCTTCGGTGGAAACGGACAGACTCCAGAGCAGTGATAGGAAGTCTGTTCCCGAGGGTAAAACCAAGGCACATGACGGTCTCTGCCTACAAACGGAAGGTGGAGGAGGCGAACCGGCGCTTGAAGAGGATGTTGCGACGCCGTCTGGATGCCGACTTTTGGAACCACAGCCAGCACATGAGGATGGGACCTGCACTGGATGGCGTCCACTTGAAGTCAAAAGCCAATGCCCAGTTCTGGCTTTCCATTCGTAAGTGTATGTGTAGGTATGTTTAAACGCCCATGCCCTGTCCGGTAGATAGTCGTAATTCCAAAACTCAATAATTGTGGTTTCGGCCCATTGTGTTTATACAGCAATGGCAAAAGGGTTCCGTGTGTGAGACGGGGCGCACAGATCAGACCTGGGTATTATCAAATCTGAGCTGTTTGGGCTCCCGTCACACGCATGGGGCTTAGCTTCGGGGGCTTTAAGGGTAGGAAAACGTGACGACATCCGCACGTGTTGCACATGACGTGAAAGCCAAGACACAGGGCTTTCGATCCATAGTAACAACAAAACCCCGTGGTCGATATACGAAACATGACAGGTACCTGCAGTGTGAAATACTGTCGTAAATCGGGTCAAATCGGGCTTAAAAGCGCCCCGGCGTCCTACCTGTTAAAGACAGGTAACTTCTGATGATAACAACAGTTAGCCCTGGGAACCAGCTTCACGTCGATGTGCAACATGTCAATGGGTTGTGTATATTCAACGTCCAACGCGACGTTTAAACAACGGCACCCACCGTTTCTGGCCCCTGAAATAGGGCACATCTGGAAGAGCAAGGGTTAGGTTTTATGTCAACCATGATGCCGACACAGATATATAACAAACCTTTGCAGACGTATCAGTTCACCAAGATGCAGTTTGTCCACATCTGGAAGAGCTAGGGTTAGGTTTATGTCAATGCTGATGCCGACACAGATATATAACAACCCTATGCAGACGTATCAGTTCACCAAGATGCAGTTTGTCCACATCTGGAAGAGCTAGGGTTAGGTTTATGTCAATGCTGATGCCGACACAGATATATAACAACCCTATGCAGACGTATCAGTTCACCAAGATGCAGTTTGTCCACATCTGGAAGAGCTAGGGTTAGGTTACATGTCAATGCTGATGCCGACACAGATATATAACAGCCCTATGCAGACATGAAGAACGGCCAAAAGCCCCACTGGACAAAACCACTTGGTATAAAAGCCCCTCGAACAAAGGCCCCTCTGGACAATATCCCCTCCCTACTTTGAGCACCCCTGTCAGAAGCCCCTCTATTCATGTATTTCATCATAAAACACTTGTTTCAAATAATTCCTCATAATAATTGACAAACAAACATTTCTCACAGCCAAACTCAGGCTTTCACAAGGAGGAAATGCATATAATGCAACACAAACACATGATACCTAGAGCGTGATATGGGCAATACTAGTGTGAGATGTATCAGTTTTCTCGTGAGATCGTGATATGGACAATACAAGAGTGAGATGTATCAGCTTTCTCGTGAGAGCGTGACATGGGCAATACAAGCCTGATATGTATCAGTTTTCTCGTGAGAGCATGACGTATGGGCCATACAAGTGTGAGATGTATCAGTCTTCTCGTGAGAGCGTGATATGGACAATACAAGTGTGAGATGTATTAGTTTTCTTGTGAGAGCGTGATATTGACAATACAAGTGTGAGATGTATCAGTCTTCTCGTGAGAGCGTGATATGGGCAATACAAGCCTGAGATGCATCAGTTTTCTCGTGAGAGTGTGACATGGGCAATACAAGTATGAGATGTATTAGTTTTCTCGTGAGAGCGTGATATGGACAATACAAGCCTGAGATGTATCAGTTTTCTCGTGAGAGCGTGACATGAGCAATACAAGTGTGAGATATATCAGTTTTCTCGTGAGAGCATGACGTATGGGCCATACAAGTGTGAGATGTATCAGTCTTCTCGTGAGAGCGTGATATGGGCAATACAAGTGTGAGATGTATCAGTCTTCTCGTTAGAGCGTGATATGGGCAATACAAGCCTGAGATGAATCAGTTTTCTCGTGAGAGCGTGACATGTGCAATACAACTATGAGATGTATCAGTTCGTGACAGCGTGACATTGGCTATGGAAGCGTGAGATGTATCATTTTGCTCGTGAGAGGGTGACATGGGCAATACAAGTTTGAGATGTATCAGTTTTCTCGTGAGAGCGTGATATGGGCCATACAAGCGTGAGATGTATCAGATTTTTCGCGAGAGCGTCATATGGGCCATACAAGTATGAGATGTATCAGTTGTCTCGTGAGAGCGTGACATGAGCAATACAAGCGGGAGGTTCAAGCCAAAGGCGTCAGAGTTGCCAGGTATGCCGTGGGGACTGGGCGTGGTTATTCTGGTATTGTACGCCAAGTGTGATGTAAAGTTATGTTTGCTTTGACTACATTAGGCGAACTTCATTGTTGCAAAAATAACACGTACACGTAGATTCTCTCCAATTTATATGAGAATTCACGCCCGTACTCCCTTGCTAGTCTGTTGGGTGGTTGACCGGCTGACGCTGATGACGTGTTCTAATTAAAATGGCGCCGACTGGAAGACTAAAACCTGGAGTTTTGTCTTCTTAAGCATTTGATACTATATATAGAAAACGTTTGCTTATATTACTAAATAAGATGTGGTTATCAGGAAACATTTCGAGTGCCTAACGGGCTATTTACGAAAGAGTTAAAAATAAAGTATTGTCTAATGATTCTTTCTCAGAGGTATTTGAATCGTCCATGGGACTACGCCAAGGGTGTGTCTTGAGCCCTTTGCTGTTTTCGTTACATATAAACGAATTGATGTATACTCTTGAGATTACTGGTCACAGAGGGATACAGCTATTTTCGGAATATATAGAACTTCTCATTTTCATTTTTGCGATGGATATAATGCTCTTTTCAGGTACAGTTATTGGTCTACAAAGACACCTCGATACGTTGCATGAATGCTTATTGTATAAAATGGAAATTGCAAGTTAACTTACAAAAAAACTAATATTGTCGTGTTTAGAAAACATGGTGGTCTACGAAAATGTGAAAAATGGTACTTTGGAATTGATTTAGTTAAAATAATTCCACAATATAAATATCTTGGGGTTTTGTTTACACATAATCTATAAGTATGCACAAATCTGTCCAAAGTGTTTGTATTAAGGGTAAAGCTGCACTACATGGGTTACTGAGGTCAATGAAACCCTTGGGCAATCTATTTTATGAGTTGCACTTTAAAATAGTCAATACGAAGATAAAACCTATTTGTATGTACGGCCCAGAATTGTGGGGATATCAAAGTTTGAAGTCTTAGAACGAATAGAAACAACAGCCTGTAAAAGATTCTTAGGAGTACCGAGTAATACACCAACTGTAATGGCTACTGGGGAATGTGGCAGATTCTCAATTTATGTAGAAACATTTATCAGATGCATTAGCTATTGGTTATCATTACTACACATGACAGATAATAGACTTCCCCCAAAAAGCTTATAATATGATATTTTGTTTAGACATACAAAAAAAGGACTTAGCTAGGTATCATTTATTGGAGAATCATTATTTAAGCTTGGGCTTGTATACGCATGGAAATATCAAGAAGTTGGACATTGTCAATTACTTTTGAACGAGATAAAGATGAGACTTAAAGATGTTTCTGTACAAGAGTGGCATTCAATTATAACTGAGAGTACTAGATACGACAATTATTCTTTATATAAACACAATATTTTTCCAGAAAAATATGTAACAAATTTCGAACTTTCAAATTTGAGACGGTACTTAGCTTTACTAAGAACTGGAGGCGCCCAATTACAGGTAGATATCGGACGTAGAAATAATATACCCAAAGAAGATAAGATTTGTAAATTTTGCAACTTAAATGTAAAAGAAGATGAATTCCATGTTATTTTAAAGGGTACATTGTATTATGAAATTAGACAACAATATATTCCACAGAAATACATTAAGAATTGTAATTGTGTAGTGTTTTGCATACATATGTCTGATAGGAATAACGAAACTGTGTGGAACTTATGTAAATTTTGTAAACACGCCATTTCTATAAGATACGAAAAGATGAAACACAAAATGTAAACTGAAAATGCCAAATATGTTAAATTTCCATTACCGATGTATATATGTATGCCATTATGTTTATTTGCATATGGGCCTAAGGCCGCGAATGCAATAAACTGAATTGAATTGAATTAAAATGGCGCCGACTGGAAGACTAAAATTGGAGTTTTGTCTCCTTAATATGGAAGTGAGGATAATCATCGGAACGGGCCTGTTACGTATCTCAACGTAAAGCCAGTTGAAATATCCATAAGTCAACAAGTCAAAAACGTTCACGCGAGGCGTTTTACGGTGCCAGAATGCTGTATGCTGAAAAAACGAGATTGTGTTCCAAATGGAGATTTAGAATCTACTGTTTCAAAATGCCGAGCCATAAACTGATGCAATTATGTGCACCCATTTGTTTCGTCAGTGTATTTATGCAATCTGGTTTCATCATTTTGTTATCAAACTGAAAAGTAGTAACACTACATACATATCCATGTAGGTTTTGAGAATGAAAATAAATTACGAACAAATATGTCACTCGGGTTAACAAAGTATACTTTCTAAATATGCAGAAACAGTATGACTTTATGAAACCTAGATTCTTTTCGTTTTTTTACTGATATATCTTTCGCATCAAACTTGTCCGGCTATTTTAGGATGACTCCTTACAGCGCTTGAGCGGTTGTTACTCCTAGAGCGTCGACTATAATTAAGTAGAAACTATGTTGTGTGCAGAGTTGTCTGATTACAAAGGCGCAAGAAGTTGGCGGGATAGGTCGACGAAAAAGGTTCGTCAGTGACTGTTAAAATATCTACTCGTGAGATAAAGTTGGGGGTTTTCGTTTATGTTAGTAAGTACATACATTCAAGATAGTTTTATCCTTCAGATGCAGAAATATTTACTGTGGGTTTAGGGAGAGAGGAACCCCTATCTTCACTAAAGCTGAAGGGGGACGTTGTCGGCACGGGTACTGCAGGAATACCCTAGTCAAAATCAGAAGACAGAAACGTACCCTAGGACAATTACATTGCGCACTGTGTCGCTTTTGCCTTGATCGGAACTGTCATACTGTTGTAGTACATTTGATTGCGTTATATAAGAAACGACCAAGTTCAGCCAGCTAAACGTCGTTTAGCTGGCTGAACTAGGGTTCGGTTAGGGTAAAGATTCTATGCCTAAGAATAGATGGTTTTCATAGAAAGCCTATCCTAACACTAGCCCTATACCTAACCCTAAACCTCACATAATGCTAAATCTAAACCTAAACCATAACTCCTAGAAATAATCATAATAAATAGAATACATTTCAAGCGGTGGGTATGAGCGGAACTCTTACCAGTTTGGGGATCCGTACAGTGCAGGTGACCCTCAAAACTCGGTAACAACTTCTGTAGAAACTCAACAGACAATAGGAAGAGTGTGTATGGGGAAAAAAATTGTACACAAGTTCTTGAAAATTTTGAGATAGCGGAAGGTCATTGGTTCAATCCCAGGCAGCGTCATACCAAAAGACGTTAAAATATGGTACTTGTTGGTCTCTGCATGGCGCTTGGGATTAATGGGTACAAGAAGGACTGGTCAGATCAGAGTCGGTATAATATATATGTGTCTGAGTGGGGTATTCATGCTTAACTGCGGCATAGTATCTCATTCGTTGGTTTCACATTACTTTTCAATTACGCTGTGCGCATGCGCAGAGCGTGTGAAAAATATCCACTGACATGCTTCCGGTTTGGTAGTGTGTTTATCTATAGTGTAAACGCTCCAAAGAAAACAAAAATCAAAACAAATATATAGTTTTATGTCGAATACAACTGGTCACAAATGATTTATGAAACAGAGGCCGGGATTAGTTAAATAAATAGCTTAAGTTATGTTAACAAGCTCTTGTATAAAGACGTCTCACCACTACCATCCTTCCTGCACACCCACTTCTCACAACTAAACAAACACATCTCTGATGGAATTGCAACCAAAATAGGACATCCAGGGTTCGAAATACCCCATATATTAGTGAGCCATGGCACCGTAAATACTGATATGGCACAGTAAAAAATGTTCTTGGTGCCCTTATGGCATGCCTAATTTCTTGGAAACATAACTCACCTTTAATCATTTAATCCCCCAAACAATAATGCCATACATATCTAAATGCTCATAAACCCATTTCTTTATTTAACAATAAATTCAAAATGATCATCATCATTGTCATTTATTCTAAGAACAAGTGGGCACACTTGATATCTGAAAGGCACGCTTAAAATATTTGTCTGGTGCCCTAAGGCACATTTACAACAAAAAATATTCCTATCCCTGACATCAATTATTGAAAAGCATAGGCAAATGGAAGTATGTACTGAGCTATGAACAGTTGTCACAACGTAACTAATTTTCATAACAGCTTTTATTTAGAGTGCATTTACACTATCGATAAACATACGACCAAACCGGAAGCATGTCAGTGGATATTTTTCACACGCTCTGCGCATGTGCACAGCGAGTTGAAAAGTAATGTGAAACCAACGAATTCTCTTTGAGCTAGCACTATTAAACCAGCTGAAGTCTGGGCTAGTACAAGCAGCCAAACATACACACTCATGTACGTCGTCATATGAGCGAAATATTCTTAAGTACGACATTACACCCCATTTCACCTCACCTTGACAATTTTGAATATTTTACGCTAACAAATCAGATTTCTTGAGTACAATTCACAATATTTTTACTGCTTTTTGCAAAGGAGATATCAAGGGCAGATTCCCTGACGAACATTTCCCCCTAACCTTTGTACTTCACTATTTATGTGGGCGTCCACCCTTTTCCAAAATCCTGGACCTGCCCCTGGATATCAACAGTGAAGTGCTAAATTTTCATTTACCCTACCAAGTGATAATTTTTGTGTGCCTGAACCGGATGGACTTTTTTCTAGCCCACATGAGCCAAGTATACCGGTATATGCAATCTGTCAATATTCTACCTCATCTCATTTCCTAACATCTGCAATAGGATTATATGCAATTGTTTTTCGTTTATAAAGTCATATTCTAAAGAAACATGACGAAGCTGTGAAGAATGTGCTGATTGAAATAGGCTGGCAGTAACATACTGTTGGCATAAAACAGGCAACAGCATGTTAATCAAACTGTAGTTCCTTCACACTATTTTGATTTAAAGGTCACATGCAACGTAAAACACAACTTTGCAGATTCTGATACCTTTTCGGTATGGACTTACCGAAACAAATCGTCAAAAATGCAAATTCAACTTATAAAGTTGAAAAATAACGCGATGAAAAAAACCGCGCGAAATCAGAGTTAAAACGTTTCACTAATTTTCCCCAGACTTTTCTGGGGAATACGGGTTTCAACAGCTGGGCTGCGCTCGTAGCACGTGCGCAGTGAAATAGGTTCGCGCAACTTGGAAGCGGGCTGTCTGGTGAATACTCGGTGAAGGCTTTGGTGTGAGCTATTTTCATAATGTTTTGTTGATATCTCACAGGCGCGAGCTTTTTATATGTTATGACAGTAAATAAACTGTTTATATAATTTCATTTGTCTATTTCACCACACGTTCTCCTTACCGAGTCACTTTCTCAGTTTGATACTTAAAAGCAATGTCATTATTTAGCGTTGACACAATTTCTAACTGTGATATAGATATGTCGCTGTCACAGACAAAACTCAATGTCTTGTTTTATTGACACCTGTGTGTCTGTCTGCCTGTCTGCTAATGACAATATTCAATACACAACTGCGATCACTGACCACATGCAATTTGAACTTAACACCAATCAGGCTATACACCATAAACAAAACGCATTGATTTATGGCCCGAGTTCGGTCTCTGTCACATTATGTAATTACACAGACAGGCAGGTGTGATACTTGAACACATGACATGTTATGATGTCTGTTGATTGCAAAATGTTATACATAAAAAATGAGCATGTATTTACAAAACCCAACATCTCTATATATACACACACAATGAGCCGTGAAGACGGCATCTGCTAATGAACCAGCCGTTACACTTGAGTGCACACCCACCCGCTCTGACTGGGTTCGGTATCCCGGCTGCTTCGTTTCGAGGGAGGTAAACCCAAGTACAAAATATTGCACTTTTGATTTGCGATTATACGCTTATAATTTTGTTTATTTGTTTTTTCATAATCAGCAATGCATATTATATGTCATGAAGAAGTGATAATTGTGTTTTAATTATGTTTGATTTTTTGGTTGCATGTGACCTTTAACAAAATTCGACCTGTGTGTTTCTACCTGGAAGTAAATCCATTTTCTCAGTTTAATTTAAAAAAATGTCTTTATGAACTGAGTGGGAGATAGGACCAACAACATCAGATTATTGCTAATAATGCCTTTAAATGACCTATAATATCCCCCGCAACGTGTTTGGGGGGGAAAATTTAAAATGGACTCCGGGGCATTTTTGGCGTTTCCATGGCAACAATTTCGACTTAGACTGAAATTAGTGGTAGTGCTCTTTTCCGGAGTAGAACTCTAAAACCGTTCACTATTTCTTCACCAAACTTAGCACGTAGATATATCTAGTGTTGTACTGGTGCCTTTCGGTAGTTTTGGAATTCTGAATAAAATATTTTGGCGTTTCCATGGCAACAAGTTTCACTTTGACGGAAATTGGTGATAGTGCTATTTTCTGGAGCAGAACTTTAAGAACCTTTCAATACTCTCCTTCCACTTTTCTATATACACACCTAAATATTTGACATAATCATAACTCGTAGATATAATCATGAAGAGTATTTTGCCATTGCGGGGGATATTTATGACTTTGTCTTCTTCTTGTTATATCATGAAGAAATATACCATAATGCCATGAGTAAACTGAGGAGTCAGTTCAAAATTGAATATAGCATAAAATTTTATATATTTTCCTTTAGTGCTGAGGGGTTGGTGGGGTAGCCTTGTGGTTAAGGCATTCACTCATCAAGTCAAAGACTCCGGTTTGATTCCCCTCATAGGCACAATGTGTGAAGCCCATTTCTGGTGTTCCCCACTGTGATATTGCTGGAATAAAGCTAAAAGAGGCGTAAAACTTCACTTCACCTCTCTCTCTCTCTCGCTCTCTTGCTCTCCAGCTGAAGATGCTTTCGTTTCAAACATGTCAGATTGACGGATTTTACATTTGATTGTTGAAAATAGTGAAATTAATGCAAGTGTTACGGCTGCCTGCAGAAACAAATTACATGCTATGCCAAGACTGTTGATTTAGAATTTTATGATATTGTATGGAATGATATCATTGCACTGGAATAAGACTATTTGCTCTATTCACAATGTATAATCTTGACATTGCATCTAACTTCCATGAAATATACAGCATGAAATTCCAACTAACAAAATTTCAAATGAGATAGTTCAATCACCGACGAATATCCTACAGGTTTCAGTTGTTTTTGCACAAGTTAGCGCAGTTAGTGTCTGACTGGTAAAGAATGTGTTGATGGTTTCATTCCTTGAACTCGTCATACCAAAAGACATTAAAAGTGACATTAAGAGGGTACACTAGTCAGTATACCGTCTCTGAGTTCAGGATCTGTGTTAAACTGTAACATGATATCTGTTTACCTAGCTCGTTTTCCGTGCCGCGGCAGGGGGAGTAGTATATACAATGGGGGTAAGAATACGCAAAGCAAAACATAATGATAAAATAAGAAGTAAAAGAAAAAAATGAAGAGGTATATTTGTGCATTTGAGTATATATAGAGACACTTTTTGTCTTCCTTGTTCTCCTCCCCCAGTAGTTGACCCAACACCAAGACAGGTATACGGAAAACAAAATGGAGTCCAGCGCAGAAAAACAACAACAGTTGGACCACTCCCCTAGATCATGCTGTCTCTATACCTCCAAACAGGGGCTTCCCCCCCAAGGAAAACCACCGGCGAAGGTGCACTCAAATTAGAGATATACAGGTACATAGGTATAGAACACAACAATGCCAGGAACCAAGCTATCGTGTGAAGCCTATGCCGAGATCCAATCGGGTCATTTTTCCTTTCGGGAAGCGAAGAGGAAGTACCACATATCGCAAGCTAGATATACGCGAATCCGTGGCAGCTCCGAGAGAACTTCCGACATGGCAGAAGTCTTTGAGACCCTACTAGAAAAGTGTCCCAACATCTTGCTTTCCGACAGAGAGAAACAAATCCTGGAGTGATTGGGACACACCTTCTATGAGTGATACCAAATCCCTCGACATTTTCTCGAGCTCTATTTGTTGTGCCAATTCGTAGAAGCAGGCAAGTACAGTCGATTTTGTCTGCATCTACCCACCCAACCAATTTCGACCTGCAGCAGACAAACTCCAAATCGTTCTCATCGACGACTACTGCCTGGAACCCAAGGACAGACACAACCGATGCACCGACTGCCTCGCCGCTATATTGGAAATCCCCACTGTCTTCGGACCAGACAACCGGACTTGCAAGTGTGGGACCATGGACCACTGCGTTGGCAGCAAGAAATGAGTTCTCTGGAAAAACAAAGCGATAGAGTATACACCCCAGGAATGACTCCCACTCGAGGTTCCCAAAGAAATCGCGATCGGCGGCTGTTTCTCGAATATAGAGAACCTGTACGACAACGACAGCCTTCTGTGGTGCCTGCGATACCAACGCCTCATCAACAAATTGGTGGACAATTGTCCATGCGAGAATGATTCTTGTACCTTCCGGCAGCTAGCAGGGAAAGCAGACCCACCACGGTGCAACAATATTTGGCATACCCCTTTGCCCAACTACGGCGGGCCCAAGGCTATGGAAGTGGCCGCCCCTCTGTGCAAAGAACACCGAAAAGCAGCAGATGTTCCGGAAGGAATCTACACATGCAAAAAGTTTGCCATAGCGAAATACAAAGGGAAGAACCGACTGTTGCTACTACTCGATTCGCCGACTGGCTACAAGATACGAGAAACAGTTCGTGTCACTGGCGGAATAGGCCTCCGGTTGGTGGGTGAACCGTTTCTGTGTAGACTTGGCAAAATCTGCCACTCGCCCATTTCGAAAAGGAAAGACGATCTAGAAGTTGAGTTGCTGCTCCCAGAGACTGAGCGGGAATAGCTTCTATTGAACCCCACCCCACACACACACACACACAATGCTCTTCGAAACATGTACAATAGATATTTTTTTTCTACTCCATATAGTGGGGGTCCCCGGGGTTGACCATGGAAACTGGTTTGGGCGTTGCTGTCTTCGTCTCGTCGGCCTGTCTGTCGACAGGTATGTGGGCCGGTGTGCTGTGCTTCCAGGTCTTGTAGACGACCTTCCAGACAAAAAAGGCGGCTATCGAAAGGTAAGTCCACTTTTGCATCGAATCTCTCATCTGCCGCACTTTCTCGATATCCAGACAGGTCACTTCTTGTTCCTCCTCGACACTTTCTATTTCCTCATGGATTTCTTCAAGAGGGGAATCATTGTCGTTGTCCAGCCTAGACAAGATGTTGACCAACAAATTCATGGTTTGCTCCACACGAGCCGACAACATAGTCGTGTTTTGCTCCGCACGAGCCTCGAGCTTCCCCAGGCAATCATAAAAGTCCTGGACGGTCGGATTTGGAGCTGTCTCGCTAGCGTGCAAGATTGTCAACGGTTCTGCAGCAGGCAATACGACTGTGCTGGAGGGCGACTTCGAAGCTATCTCGCCGGCGGGCAAGAGGGTCGAAGGTTCTGCAGCAGGCTCTCACCATAGCTCGTACAGCCTTGTGGACCCTTTCGATAGCCGCCTTGTTTGTCTGACCTGGAAGCACAGCACACCGGCCCAGACAGGCCGACAAGACGAAGACAGCAACGTCCAAACCAGTTTCCACAGTCCACCCCGGCAGGAATGGAAATAACCCATTGCCCGACGTCTGAGTCCAGTGTTTTTTTCTGTCGGTCAAGCAAATTTGTATATCACGCTGTACCGGTGTCCAGTTGACTTTCCAATGTTAATTATGTTGTTTACTTAAAAAATCAACAAAGAAATTGGGACGGTATAGTGGGAAAATTATCAGGGCAAGTAATCATACATGTGCCACTGTACCAAAGTACACTTGCAATTTTAAAGTTATTTCCACCCTGCCCGGGACCCCCACTATATGGAGTAGAAAAAATATCTATTGTACATCTGTTTGAAGAGCATCATGTGTGTGTGTTTTTCGATAGAAGCTATTCCTGCTCGGTCTCTGGGAGCAGCAACTCGACTTCTAGATCGTCTTTCCTTTTTTCGAAATGGGCGAGTGGCAGATTTTGCCAAGTCTACACAGAAACGGTTCACCCACCAACCGGAGGCCTTCTATTCCGCCAGTGTCACGAACTGTTTCTCGTATCTTGTAGCCAGTCGGCGAATCGAGTAGTAGCAACAGTCGGTTCTTCCCTTTGTATTTCGCTATGGCAAACTTTTTGCATGTGCAGATTCCTTCCGGAACGTCTGCTGCTTTTCGGTGTTCTTTGCAGGGAGGGGCTGCCACTTCCATAGCCTTGGGCCCGCCGTAGTTGGGCAAAGGGGTATGCCAAATATTGTTGCACCGTGGTGGGTCTGCTTTCCCTGATAGCCGCCGGAAGGTACAAGAATCATTCTCGCTTGGACAACTGTCCACCAATTTGTTGGTATCGCAGGCACCACAGGAGGCAGTCGTTGTCGTACAGGTTCTCTATTTTCGAGAAACAGCCGCCGATCGCGAACCTTGAGTGGGAGTCGTTCCTGGGGTGTATACTCTATCGCTTTGTTTTTCCAGAAAACGCATTTCTTGCTGCCGACGCAGTGGTCTATGGTGCCAAACTTGCAAGTGGAGTTGTCTGGTCCGAAGACAGTGGGGATTTCCGATATAGCGGGCGAGGCAGTCAGTGCATCGGTTGTGTCTGTCCTTGGGTTCCAGGTAGTAGTCGTCGGTGAGAACGATTTGGAGTTTGCCTGCTGCAGGTCGAAATTGGTTGGGTGGGTAGATGTAGACAATTTTTTCGACTATTTTTGCCTGCTTCTACGAATTTGGCGACAGCACAACTAATAGAGCTCGAGAAACTGTTGAGGGATCTGGTATCACTCATAGAAGGTGTGTCCCAATCACTCCAGGATTTGTTTCTCTCTGTCGGAAAGCAAGATGTTGGGACACTTCTCTAGCAGGGTCTCGAAGACTTCTGCCATGTCTGAAGTTCTCTCGGAGCTGCCACGGATTCGCGTATATCTAGCTTGCGATATGTGGTACTTCCTCTTTGCTTCCCGATTGGATCTCGGCATAGGCTTCACACGATAGCTTGGTTCCTGGCATTGTTGTGTTCTATACCTATGTACCTGTATATCTCTAATTAGAGTGCACCTTCGCCGGTGGTTTTCCTTGGGGGGGGGAGCCCCTGTTTGGAGGTATAGAGACAGCATGATCTAGGGGAGTGGTCCAACTGTTGTTGTTTTTCTGCGCTGGACTCCATTTTGTTTTCCGTATACCTGTCTTGGTGTTGGGTCAACTACTGGGGGAGGAGAACAAGGAAGACAAAATGTGTCTCTATATATACTCAAATGCATGAATGTACCTATTCGTTTTTTCTTTTCCTTCTTATTTTATCATTATTATTTCCTTTGCGTATTCTTACCACCATTATATATACCGGTACTACTGGGGGCAGCCATACGATTATCACACGATTCTACGTGCGCCATAGCCTCTACTGTTTTTTCAAACAGTGAAGACAAATTTGAAAAAATTGTAAGCCCGTAGTCCATAGGGGCACCGCACGGGCACTGCACGGGCACTGCACAGGCACCGCACAGGCACTGCATGGAGGCCGCAACATGATCATGTGGTAAAAGCATGATGTGTTGGAACTAAAGGATCATGGGATATCCGCACAGCTATCGCACAATCACCTCCGTAAGATGTCCATATGATTTCTGTGCAGCCTCCATGCAGGTTTGCCTTGGCCTGTCCCCAAGGAAATTGCAGGATGCCTGTAGACAATGTGAACACAAACATCGTATCCCGCAGTCACTCATGATGACTGAAAAAAATGTATTGAAAATCGTAGACTACTTATGGTACATTGCCCATGGCAAATGTGATCCAGGCCTATGCGCTAGGACTATAACTGCCATTAGCCTGGACCTGACAGAAGACAAACACACATACAAGCACATCACTACGTAAGTGTAATACCCTTGAACACAGCATTAACCTGCCTGAAATATGAAAAAATGTTGTGAAATTTCTACATTTATATCTGATGTAAGTGATGGTCAGAGACTGGCCAGAATTGAAGCTACAGTTTTTGATTGTCCTGCAAGCTGGAAACCAAATACTAGTCAACAAAATATGCGCATGATAACGCTGTAACTATTCTTGATTAGTTTCTACCAAATGAAGAGCAGTGGTATAGGTGAGTGGTCAGTGTTTTTGTATATCAGGCTGAAGACCTGGGTCTTCTTCAGTAAAATAGGTGAAACCCAGTTTTGGTGTTTCCACCGTGATGCTGGTATAATTGATTTGAAACCTCACTCATACACTTTTCCCACTGCTTTGTTTTTAGGTGATTGGTGTCAGCCGAAGTCATGTCAGCCATGACAACGGTTGCCGAGGTAACGTGTACACGCAGTGCCAGCCAGAAACAGCCAGTACCAGAAAAGGAGAGAGAAGTCATTGCAACAGATCACACAGTCTCAGGCAAACAAGAGCCTATTGACTGGAGAAAGAGAGTGAAAGCTGAATATATGCGCTTATGTCACATGAAGCGATTAAAGAGGGCTGATGAAGTGAAGGTTTGTGAGAGTTTTGTCTGTTGTATGATGGTGAACAAAATGAAGTGTTCAAGGACCACTGAAGATGAGCCATACTTTGGGCATGTATGTGTATGCTATTTCAAGTATTGACCACATTTGATACTGTAGGCTTTCAAGTCAGGATACACATGGAAATAGTTCTCAGTACCCCATGCTTGTTAAGAGCCAGTTAAGATGGGAGGCCAGGCTTGTACTCTGTTAATGTGCTTCCTTGCTTGCAGTCAGTGGTTTGCATGGTCCACACTGTTGGGTTCAGGCTTCTGTGATATTGCAAACATTTCCTGAAACAACATTAAAACCTGATCCACACCATTCTGCATAACTTTGTTCAAGCGTATGGAACCATAAGCTACCGAGTGCTATCAAGTACTGGTCCTAGTACAGTAGCTATACCATTGTACTTTGGGCATGGTGGGGGGCATCTGCAGCCAAGTAGTCGATGACAAGAACATCTGATGCCATAATTGTTTACATCGTTTCCTGAATGCTTTTATATGCATGCATTGTCTCAATAAAGCATTCACCTTTTCTGCCCTTTACTGTTGTATGATGGTACCAGTAGCTACACCATTGCATAACTATACAGGAAAAAATGTCCTACATTAAGTTCATAGTTTATTTAGATCATGTTACTTTAGTCTCTAGCATTTGAGTATTGCAAAGTGGTTGTGAAAATACTGTTTGCCTTTGGCTGGTAATGCTATTGTGCTTGATTTCTAACAGTGTCTAGTCAGGCTAGGGAGATACCACTGCTCTCTTTCTAATTTTGATGTAAAAATTTGGTGAACAAGCAATATACAGAAATATTGGTTTTGTTATTTGCTGTTACATGTACTATGTGTTTGTATCCGGGGTAGAATAGGTCTTCAGCAACCCATGCTTGCCACAAAAGGCGATTATGCTTGTCGTAAGAGGCGACTAACGGGATCGGGTGGTCAGGCTCGCTGACTTGTTTGACACATGTCATCGGTTCCCAATTGCGCAGATCGATGCTCATGCTGTTGATCACTTGATTGTCTGGTCCAGACTAGATTATTTACAGACTGCCGCCATATAGCTGGAATATTGCTGAGTGCTGCGTAAAACTAATGTCACTCACTCACTATGTGTTTGTTTTCAGACATCGTTTTCTGCAAACAGAAAGCATATTTCTGATGAAATTGAAAAACAGAATATATGGATGAAACAACAGCCCTTTCAGCCATTACTTGCACCAGAGACCTTCAGCCATGTTCCCGTTACCAGGAGGGTAAGCATTGTAAAGCAGTGCCTTGTAAATGTATTTTGTTACCTCTTCCACTACTCCAATGATGGGTTGTACTTTTTCACCTGATGTACAGATCATTTAGTCTGCAGCTTGAGTACTTGTATGAAGCTGGAGTTAATGTAACATTTTTTTGGCCTTGTAAGCTTGTATTGTAGGCTGATGATAAGGTGTAAATGATGTCTTATCCTCTCGCATCACATTGCAATTTCCTTCTTCATTTTGACTGGAACACAGTACCCAAAATGGGCCTCTTCATCTGGGTGGCTCCTCACTCACTCGCTCACTCACTCACTCACTCTATCTCAGAGGTTGAATCTCAAGTGGAGGAGTGAAAAAAACTGAAAAGAGATTCTCATTTAGATAACATTTTATGGATGGCAGAGGTCCTCTTGTTGAGTGAGTTTAGTTTTACGCCACACTCAGCAATATTCCAGCTATATGGTGGCGGTCTATAAATAATCGAGTCTGGACCAGACAATCCTGTGATCAACAGCATGAGCATCAACCTGCACAATTGGGAACCGATGACATGTGTCAACCAAGCCAGCGAGCCTAACCACTCAATCCCGTTAATCGCCTCTTACGACAAGTATGGGTTTACTGAAGGTTCATTCTAACCCGGACCTTCACAGGTATCCTCATGTTGAAGCCATCTAAACCAAAGAAATGTAACTTTTCAATAAGCCGATTACTGTGTAGTTTGCAGTTATCCCATGAACTATCAGTATGGAAGTCAACTCTTAGCAGAAACACCATAACCCTTAGATGGTTGCTATGACATCTAGCTGGCAGCAGCATTCTCCATTTAATGACCAATGGGGGCTGCTTTGGTTGTTATAATCAGCCACCACATGACCCTCCCAACTGTTGATGTACAAAGCCTTTGTCACTCACACTTTGTTCCAATGACTTCTACACCCTCCACAGCTATCTGGATACACAACACCTAGTTGCATCTTTTGACGTCTGCACCAGTGTTCCACAATATTCCACAGGTACCACTGTGCTCTCCAGATTCAGAGGAGAGATGGCAACCCAACCCCAAACCCCTAACCACTGGATAATGAAGGTCTAAAAGATCTTGTTTACTCACTTTTTTGCATGTTTACCATTAGAATTTGACAACATTTAGTGTATATCTGATACTGTAATTGTAGTTATTTTTGCATGGGATTAATTTTTGCGCTTTTAGCGCAAAACGATTCTGCGCTAATAATCATACCAAGCAAAATATTCATTGTGAAGTCATTACAAATACTCAAGTAGGTACAAAATGCAATTTGTTTATTCTCTCAGATAACAAAGTTAAAACGATTTATAAAGGAATTGCGAAGCGATTCATGGCGTTTTTCATGATTTCTGTGTTTAATTATCGTAAGTACTAGTATACACTCTTCTTTAATTCGTTGTCAGTTGATCTCGCATATGGGACAGGTGTTGTCATGTTGACACAAGTCTAATCCCACCTCTCTCTCTTATTGTTTTAGCAAACACGATTCAATTATGGCGGCTAGCTTTGATCATTGCATGTCTGTCGGTTGTGAAAACTTTGTGACGGATACCATCACTTAGGTGTTTGAAATGCGCGAAAAAACAATTGCGCTAACAGGTCTTTTGTAAACTTTCTGCGGAAATTGCTCCCTGTGAAAACATATATATGATTACAGTATATCATTGTACATAGACCTATTACTGGGTTTGCTTTCTTATTCATCATGTCCATTTTGTTTTTTATGCAGCATACAGAAAAAGAATTCAATCAAAATTTATATTTTACCTTATCCTCACTCATACTTATTGCTTATCTCATCTCATTTTCGGATGGTAGTGGAAACTCCAGTGAATAAAGTTAAAGTTTCAAGCACCACTGCTCCTGTTCTCGGACGATTCTGTGGCTTGCTAAAAGCATGCTGCATGACCTCCGGTTGACCAAATGACTACCTTGTCTTATCATTCTCTTTCCTGTCGCACTGGAATGTAAACAGTTTAACTTTGGATACCATGGGCAAGGATAAACCATCCAAGAAACATGAAGTTTGCGACAAATGTTGGAAGAATGTTTCTGCAGCTGACCCTCACCTGCTGTGTATAGACTTCCCACCTTAAAGATGATGATTTCGCAGCATACCATAGGGTTGGTTCACTGCGAGTTGCAGAAAGAGATAGAAAGAGAGGGGACGAACATGGTCCATCCGCCCACAAGAAATCCCGGTACGACAGACCATTTAAGAAGGCGCATAGACCGTCACATTCGTCTGATAAAGATGACTCTTTGGACACTGTCGGATTCCTCTCTGTCAGAGAAAATATGTTGACTTATTTTTCAGTGTGACCCTACATCAGGTCCTCAAGAGACTAGATCACCGGCTACTACGCGAATATCATGAGAAGATCGGCTGGCATCATGAGAAGATAGGCGATTGTGCTTCCCATCATCGTCATCTTGGATGCGACAGCGTTTCCCAAGCTACGATCTTACCCGGGTCAGGATCGGACTTTCTTCGGTGATTCTTCCGTGATCCGGGATCTCCTCCTTCAACGGCTTTTCCCACACAGTTACAGCTTTGTCATCTATGGGGTCTACCAGTTTGGGCGGCCCTCCAGTTATTAGTGGAATTTTCATCGCTCCTTCTTCTTCGGCAATTCGTCTGCAGTAATGCAGACTTTGGTTTCCATGATTTCTTCTACATCAGCGATTCCCAGAGGTTCGGTGATTACTTCTCACCCGACGCCAGGAATTTACCTTGAGTCCTGTATTTGAGGGTCCCTGGGACTCATGCTTATAATTTTCAGGGGTCCTGGACAACAAAATCGGGGTCCCAGACACTTAAATATTATTATTAGGGCTCCTTTGCCTTTAGGCAGGAGACCTATTGTAATCGTTAATGTTTTTATTATTATTATTTATTTTTCCGCCGTATTTTGTTCCAGCCCTACAAAGAGCACCGCTGGACAGATTCGCTTGAAAAAATTCACCAAGATGCCTACCAAGGTGTAGATATTCCCCATTAAAATCTCTAGGCTGTAGGCCCAATAGCAAAGGCCAGATAATTCAAAATTAATTCAAAAATTTCAAATGCAAATGCAAATATCTCCAAAACTAATGCTCCAATGTTTGCCGAGGTTCTTGAGCAGATGCGCCAATCAAAATGCCTACAATTTAAGCCTCTGGACGGCTCAAAGTCGGCTCAAATACACCGTTTGACGCTATTTGGGATTGAAGTTTTTGGTGATGTTTTAAGCAAAATGCTGACTGCATACCTCCCAAAATGTGCTGCACTAAAACTACAAGGGACTACGGCTTTCAAGCGTTGCATACTTTGTGTCTATGCATGTTTCTACACCGTAGCATCGTCAAATGTGCCTATGTTTATATGATGGCAGCCATATTGGACGCTACTTTTGGGCAAAGTTGTCTTCAAAACTTTCACGGGCTACTTTGCTATTTTGTGCCAAAGCGAAACTTAGCACATACAACACTTTAAACGCTTGTTCTGAAGTTGCCTTTGGTTGTTGAACATTTTCTGTTCTTGGTCCTATGTCAAAAGTCACGTGATGATGCGGCCATATTGGATTGAAGATGTTTATCGGAAATGTGCAGATTTGTAGGGTAGGCATATTTCTAATCCATAACTCTGAATGTATGAACTGCAGAACGCTGTAAATGCGCAGATATACAGTATATACCTCAAATATTAATGCCCATAAGCTATGTTGCGATATCTTGATTAGTTACGGATATCTAGATGTTTGCTTCTGTTGTTTATTTTGTACTAAAATGTATTTTCAAAAAATCGCAGCGTCATAACTATTTCAACTATGCAGCTAGAATCTGGCAGTACGTAGTAACTAAGTGTGTTGAACATTTTTTGTTCTTGGGTGCATGTCAAAATGTGTATTGCTTGGCGTCCATATTGGATTTCGTCAGATTCTGATGATACTACATTATAAACAGCATAGCTGCTCAAGTTCTGCACACAAGGCAGTAAAACTTGGCAGTATGCATCAACATAAGATGCTTAACATTTCGTGTTCTTACATGCATATCAAAAGTTTGATCGTTTGTCGGCCATATGGCATTGAAAATTGCACAAATGCATTATGTGTCCAAAACGGCATAAAACAGCATATAACTCCACCACTATTGTCCCAATCGCTTCCATATTTGGCATGTGACTTGGTCAAGAGATTCTGATTATTTTTGTCTGGTTGTCCCAGAGCGATATCTCTAGCCGTTTGGCCGCCATCTTGGATTGAAGTTTTTCAATTTTCAGGTTGCCATGGGAACAGAAGTTGATATTCAAATGACCTGATTTTTACGGCATCATTAGGCACAGTCAAGGGAATGCTATGTGCAAAATCTCAACTCTGTACGTTCCATAGTTCCGGAAATACTAATTATACAGTATTTTAACGGACAGACATGCGGACAGACGGCGGACATATTTGTCACTAAATCTGACCAGCGCATATGATACATCGGGTCTGGGCAAAGCAGAAACACTAATCCCTTTCACCCTAGAGGTAATAACAACGGCGTCTTAGCTCGCCAAAAAACATGTTTTTGTTTTGTCACGGACCGGTCAAATGACCTTGACCCCCGTGACCTTGGTGACCTTGACCATTAGAAAGCATTTTTGACATACTATCAAGTTCGGGGTCAAAACCCGAAAAACTCAAATATCGCGATTTTAATTAGGGCTCCTTTGCCTTTAGGCAGGAGACCTATTGTAATCGTTAATGTTTTTATTATTATTATTTATTTTTCCGCCGTATTTTGTTCCAGCCCTACAAAGAGCACCGCTGGACAGATTCACTTGAAAAAATTCACCCAGATGCCTACCAAGGTGTAGATATTCCCCATTAAAATCTCTAGGCTGTAGGCCCAATAGCAAAGGCCAGATAATTCAAAATTAATTCAAAAATTTCAAATGCAAATGCAAATATCTCCAAAACTAATGCTCCAATGTTTGCCGAAGTTC